GAAAATGAATATGAGATAGTATAGTATACTGAGTTACTGGGATGTGGAACCACATAGAACATGTATCCTTAAGAAAATTCCATCATTTCATGATTGTCATCTGTGGGACTTAAAGGGTACTTCTGTCACTTAGATGTTGTTGTTATGTGCCGTGGAGTCGGTTCCGACTCATAGCGACCCTGTACAGGGTTTGCGAGGCTGTAAATCTCTACGGGAGCAGAAAGCCTCGTGTTTCTCCCATGGAACAGCTGGTAGTTTTGAACTGCTGACTTTAAGGTTCACAGCCCGATTCGTAACCACTACGCTACCAGAGCTCACTTAGATAGAAGGGAATAATACAGGTAAGTGCAGAAATCAATGAAATAGAAGAGAAAGTAGATATTAGACTTGTTGTAGTCTACCTTTTCACAACAATTCTGAGCTCAGTAAGGTTTCGGTAGAGGAGATCCGTCTTGTTGGGTTTGGGTGGTGACAGGTGGTTTTGTTAGGGTCATGAAGAAGCTGCAGGCTGGGTTAAGTACCACAGATCAGAAGCTTTGCTAAGGGAAGGAGTTGAGTAACAGCCCATGAGCACATCAAATGTCGGCTCTCCCCTGCTCTCCCACGGAGGGGCCATTCAGGCAGAGGTGTTGGCCATCGTGGCTCTGAAAGGACAGTGGGAAGGTCTGTAGCAGGACATGTTTCAACCTCCTCCGCTGTCACCAGAAAGCACTGATTGGAAGTCAGCAGCAGAGACTATGGAAGAGTTGTTTTTAGTAGACTTTTAAAGTGGATTTTCATGGTTTTCTCCCTTGGCTCTGCAGTTCCAGCCCTACTGTTCTAGGACGACTTGAAAGTGGAATATCACAGTTCCACCTTGCTCCCTATTTCTTACTTTGGGGATTATGCTGGTTACTGCCAGCTAGCTGCCCTCTGACATCTCACACCCCATTGGACCCTGTGGTGGGTGCCTTTAATAATAGTCTTACACTTCATCTCTCCCTGAAAGACTCTCAGAATACTAATGGAAAATCCCCAGGAATCACAACAGGATTCTTGATCATACTGCCGGGAGTTGGGACTTCCTAGAAGGATGGACTCACCTGGGCAGGAATTGAAGAAGCTGAAGGAGAAACCGTGGATAGACCTCAATTCGTTGTCAGTCTGGACTTCCTGTTCAGGACATAGGTGACACCTGGAGTGACAATTGCCCTTTTTCAGTAGTGCTGCCTGTGTGTAGGTTTGTGCATTCCACTGGACCCCATAAGGATTTGCCATCTCAGGGAACTTTACCTGTTGTTTTCCCCAGAGGAAGTTTTCAGAGAACGCTAGGATTGGACTGTATGTCAGACCAGGCTGGAGAACTGAATCACACAATTATGCTGCAGTGCTATGTAGCACCTCACCAAGCTCCCTCACAGCCTAGAGCCTAGGAGGTAAGTGTAATGCTGTGCGCCCATTTTACACCTAGGAAAACTGGGCTATACCGCAGTGAAGTCTTTTGCAAGGGCAACACAGCTGACAAATAGAGGGAACCGTCTCTGTAATTGAAGGTGACAGGCAAAAACAATATTTCCCAACTTGTACTTTCATTGGTTCAGGTCAGCACTCTCTTGTTCATTGCTCATCTTAACTAGTTGGGTCTGAACCTCTGTTGGCAAGACACAGAGCCCTCCAGAATCACCCAGACCAGGCCAGTGTGTGACAGCCTCAAACACACATCACCAAGGCCATGTCTCTTGGCTTTGGCTACTGCAACCCAGTTGTTCATTCTGCAAATACATTAAGGACCTCCCATGCCCAGGCAGGAGGCAGAGTTCACCTAGATTCCAGCAGCAGCCTGCTAAGGGAGCATCAGGGGAAGGTTGCCTTCCTCTGTCCAGCTTCTTTCATCACCAATACTGGTGTGACTCATCTGCCCACACTTCCCCCATGCTCTAGAAATGATCCATCAGTGCTGTTTATCCAAACCACTTTCCCTGGGAAGAAGTGTCAGTAGGGTCTGTCATTGCCCTTCAGGGTTGCAGGCATACAGAGCACAGTTGGGGAGGTGTGGCTTTTGAATGGGAAGGTGAACACCCTGAACTTCTTACCTGTCAAGTGCTTGCCCACTGACTTCAGGTTTATTTGGAGGGAGGTTGTTAAGTACCATGGAGCTGCTGGTAGGTTTGAATCCCCAACCTTGTGGTTAGCGGCTCAGTGCTTCTTCTATAGCACCACACCAGGATTTCTAATTATTAATAATTTAGGGTTTCATTAAACGTAAATGCAGGACTCAAGCCCCGTTGCTTACTTTCCAAATATTTCTCAAAATTTTTAATATTTGAGATAATAACGTCTTTCTAAAATGATGAATACAGATCTTGACATCCACAGGTAACTGTACTCTGCTTTGAGGGACTTCTTTTGTATTAAGCTGAGAAGGCTTTTATTAAAAATGGCAATTCAGTGAGTCTGTTTCAGAAACAAGTTTGCAAAATACAAGTACACTATGGTCATATTGGAGCCCTGGTGTGGCGCTGTGGTAGTTAATGCACTGGACGGCAAAGTTGATTTAAACCGCAAGATCAACAGTTCAAGCTCACGCATTGCTCCTCAAAAAACCTATACATGGCCACTATAGGTCGGAACTAACTCGACAGCACTTCACAACAACAACTTTGGTCATATTTGGGAGCTTTTTTTTTAAATAAAAAACTCTTGGCCTCTGTCTTTCTCTATGTGTGCCTCTGTTTTGTCTCTTCATGTCTGTCTGTCTATCACACTGTACACACAGTCTCTCCGCCCTAACACTGGGAGACTTGGCGCTACAAACCCACCGTCTTTCATCTCTCAGTAGCACTGCTGTGACCACACAACCTGGATTTCCTATCAAAATTTCCTTCTATGAGTCGAAAATTTTTTTAAATAGGTATTTTTGGTTTTCAAGGGGGTGAGAGTGTAGCCAGAGATGGGGCGGTGTCTATGTCATCAGTTCACCTGCAAATCTGAGCCAGCAGGTGAGAAAACGGGCTGATGTTCTAGTTCCCCCAGCTACCCCGAATACCTCTCTCTTGGCCAGAAGTAGTCTGAATGTGGGCCTGGGGCACCTGTACACACAGTAATGACATTCTTGCCTAATCAGGAAAGAGAAAGTATAGCATGGCCGACTTACTGCTCAGCTCTCCTCTCAGCAACAGGAGAAACTTCCCTTGGATCCTGAAGGAAACTTTCCTTAGTTTCTGGATCTCTGGTCTCTAAATCCTCAAAGCAATGACTAGGCACCACAGAGCGCTCCTTCAAGGTCACTGAGTTCCAGCAGGAAACGAGGCGAGAAGGAAGTATTCTTTGAGGCGGAGAGCGGCACCAAGGTGGGTGAGTGGGTAACTGTCACTGAGTCCAAGTCCTGGAAAGGCAGCTGCCATACCTTGAATAAGGTCCCCAATCTTTTACCAAAATTCAGATGGGATTCATCCAGAAAGCTTCCAATTTTATAATGGTATTCTGGTATGTGTGCCATGTTATGTACTTCCCCCAGTGGGGCCTGGGGCAGCCTTACATGATCAAATGCATTCGCATTTCTATTGTACAATGTATGACTATCCGCAATATATGGTCAAAATCTATCTAAAGTCTCCATTAGCTCAGATTGCGTATGGGTGCTGTTTCAGTTGTCCAGTGCTGCTGTAAGGAAATACCACAAGTAGATGGCGTTAACAAACAGAAACTTGTTCTTTCACAGTTGAGGAGGAGTCTGAATTCAGAGTGCCAGCTCTAGGAGGCTTCTCTCAGTGTTGGCTCTGGGGGAAGGTCTTTATCTCCTTTCAGCATTTATGGGCCTGGTGCTCCTTAAAGCTCTCTATGTGTCTTCTTGCCCTGGATTACGAAGGCTCTCAGCACAGGGACTCTGGGTCCAAAGGGTACCCTCCACTCCCAGTGTTTCTTTCTTGGGGGATCACCTATTCCTTATTTCGTTATCTGACATTTTACATTTGTGATAATAGTAAAAATTCTATTTTGGATATGACATATCTGGCAGCAAAGAACATCTGATGGGGTCCCTAATCGGCAGACCCTGTGTCCATGTAGAGTGAAAGCTTTTATTGTTAGGATTTTACTGCCCTGAGTCCTGGTGCAGATCAGGAGGATCAGCATTGAACTGGTAACCTCAAAGTCAGCTCTTCAAACTCACCAACTGCTCCTTGGAAAACCTATACAGTGTTGCAGAGGCAGAACCAACTTGATGGCACTTAATAAGAGTTTCACTGTTCAGTGGGGAGAATGGGCACAATCTTGAGATGCCAGGGTGCTGGGTAGAACAAGTGGGGGGTTGGTTGGGGGCAGGCTGGTGGGGACAGGATGCTGTATGGCAGGTTCTGAGTGCCCATAGGAGGCTGAAGTCAGGGCAACAGCAGTGGTGTCCTAAAGTCAGGGTGCCCTAGGGGCTAGGAAAAAAGAAGAACCTTGGGGCCTGGCCCCAACTTCCAGTCCTGAAGGGTGGAAGGATGGGTCAGGTTGTGGTCAGAAGGAACCCTAAGACACTTTATCAGCTGGCCAGCTGCTGTGTAGCTCCTTACACTTCCTCTGTGCTCCCTCCTGGGCACATCCAGGTAAGTGTGGGTTCGGCAGGTGAGTGGCCAGCCGCAGCTGCAGTTTAAGGACAAGGGCAGAGGCCAGGACTGGCCTTCAGGGCCTCAGGGGAAGCTCTGGATAGTTGATTTTCATGGAGACAGAGAAGGGAAGGGCCACCCAGTGAGAGCTGAAGGATTCTCAGGCAAAGGGCCAGTAGGAGAACCCAGTGGCACTCAGGCCTTCCTCCCTGTAGACAGGGAGCCCCAGGCCCTGACAAAACACCATGGGTGCTTTTGGGTTGCTGCTGAGGGCAACAGAGGAAGGGGACCCCAGGGATGGGGAGGGGAATGGCACTTGTGCCATCCTGACTTTGTGCCTCTGGAAGACTGGGTAGTACTTCCCTGTGGGCAGTGATGGGGGATGAACTCTCTGAGGTGATGGGGAGGTAAAGGCAACAGTGGTAGGTGACCTCAGCAGGCGCTTGACAGGATGTTCAGCGTACAGTGAAGAAATTCAAGTGTTGAGTTCATCCTCCATTTTTGCATAGTGCCAATTTTTGCATAATGACCTGGTTTTTGGAATCTAGCCATGGAGGATAAGTGTGGATGTAGTATGGTCCCTCATCTTAGTTCCCTTCTCTTTCCTTTTCTCTCTTATTTTTGTAACTTTAATTTATAGTAAATTGAATGAAGGGTTATAGAGCAGATCAATTCTCCTGGTTCAATCCATATGCATTTTGTTTCATGTCACTGCAATATTCACAATGTAACATTATTTATTCTACTTCCTGCCTGTTTCCTGCCTGTTTCCTGTTTCCATTTCTCTTTTCCTAACAATGCTTCTGAACTTTCTTTCTGGGTAAAGACTGCCTTTTTGATGTTAAATGATTGATGATTCTAAGATGTCTGTATCTCCCTAGTGTTGTTGTTGTTGCTGTTATGTGCCGTGGAGTCGGTTCCGACTCATAGCGACCCTGGACAGGGTTTCTGAAGTTGTAAATCTTTACAGGAGCAGAAAGCCTCTTCTTTCTCCCTAGTTTCGAACTGCTGACCCTGAGGTTAGCAGCCCAATTTGTAACCACTATGCTACCAGAGCTCCTTCTCCCTGGTGTTATTATTCCCTTTATTGACCTGTCATTTGTCTGGCTGAAAATTGAGTCACTGGGATAAATTCATTTCCAGACCTGAAGTGTGATGAAGCACCATAGTCTCAGGGGATCTAATTATCTGTAACCAACCAGTACGATGGATCTTTTTTTATGATTTTGAGTTTTGTTACATAGCTTTCTCACACTTTATCCAGGACTTTCTAATGTGATCCCTTTTAGAATGGTTGTTAGTGGTAGCTGGGCACCAGCTAGTTTTTCGGGTCTTAGGACTGTGAAGACTGATGTTCAAATGGTCCATTAGTTCTTTGGACTAATTGTTTCCATTTTCTTCTTTCTTCTTTTCCTCTTTTGTAAAATAAGATTGTGACACAATCAAGGGTGTGAAGGGGTACAGGTATACTCTTATAAGGCACAACCCATCCTACGTACACCAAAAAACCAAACCAAAATCACCATCATCAAGTAGATTCTGATCCATAGTGACCCTGTATAGGGTTTTCAAGACTGGAAATTGTTACATGAGCAGACAGCTTCATCCTTCTCCTATGGAGCAGCTGGTGGGTTTGAACCTCTGACCTTGAAGTTAACAGTCCAATGCTTACCCCACAATGCCATCTAAACTCTTTCATAGAATATTGCTGTTGTGTGCCATCAAGTCAGTTTTGACTCACAGTGATCCTGTATAGAGTTTTAAAGAAGGACTGGTAGGTTTGAACTGACAACTTGGTGGTAATCAGTCCAGTACATAACCTAAAGTGCCACACCAGGGCACATAGCATATAGAAATTAAGATTTATGGCACATATCAAAAAATGGAGAATAATCACATCAGATTACAAAATGCAGGACCACCAACACAATATGCAGAAACATGGAATTAAATTTTGTGGAAAGTGCAATTAAAAAATGATGGAATTTTTCCATGAGCTTTTGAAGCCCCCTTTTACTAGAAATCACAGCCTAGTCAAGTTGACATATATTTGGGGGGGAGTGGGGGGATGACACAGTGAAGAAAATGAAGCCAAATGAAGAAAATTTTGATTTCCAGGGTGTTTATTTGAGGGGGCAGGTGGGAGGATTTCAGACTTGCCAATCGGAAGTGGTGAGTCTGCATTCACAGTTCTGTCTCCTGGCATCCTGATGAAGAGGGTTCTTTGCAGGGGGAAGGAAGGGCATGTGGATGGGTATGGCCCAGAGTGCTCTTTTGTAACAGTAAAGAACAGGTCCTAATTTTTAGTTAATGTTCTATTTTAAAATGATGTCCTCCACTTTAAAATAAATCAAAATTTTAAAATGCTAAAAAATGTACAGCCCCTAGTTCACTTCACAACACCATCCCTCTTTTATTAGTCCACTGGGAATCCCTCTAGACATTTCTTCGCATTACACTCACACATTCACGTAGACACCTATACACGGAGAGCATCCTCCATTGGCTTGATGGATTTTTATTTTTTAATTTTTCATAAACAGGATCATCATACTGGAAGTTGCTGCTCTGTTGCTCCCTGCTACTGCTTTTTCTTTTACCATTATATCATGGTCTACTAGGTCAGAACCCACAGATCCCCTGTAAAAAGGGATGCAGTTGCCTCAAAGAGTGGGTGGAAAGGGAAGACATCTTTATAGGGATTTCTCTGAATGTCTAAGGAGCCCTGGTGGAGCTGTAGAATAAGAACTAGACTGCTCACCACAAGGTTGGCAGTTCAGTCCACCAGCCGCTCCAAGGAAGGAAAAATAAAAGACTGTCTTCTGTAAAGATTTACAGGGGTGGAAGCTCTATACAGAGTCACTATGAGAATCAACTCACTGGCAGGGGATTGGTTGGGGGTTTTGTTTGTTTTTCTAAACATCTAAGAGAATCTGTGAATTTCAGTCGTTTCCACTGGTATTTGATTTTCTCCACTCCTTTCCTACAAACATCTTTTATTTATTATAAAAGGAGTGACCCAAGCAAGGGTGTGACATGAATAAAGATATGACTTGAGAATACCTGAATTACGGCAACAGGCTGCTTAATTTCAGGGTGTGTACCTCTCCACGGAGTCCTGGTGTGGCGCTGTGGGTTAATGCGCCAGATTGCAAAGCCGTTTGAACTGCAAGGTTGGCGGTTCAAGTTCACCAGCTAATCCTCGGAAATCCTATACAGCGTCGCTATGGGTCGGAACCGACTCGATAGCACTTCACAACAACAACATCCCCTCCCCAAATTCTCCGTTCATATAACCTTTTTTAGGGGCAATCTTCTTCCATAATTTAAATGTTTTAGTAATGTTGGGTGAGATGAAGCTCAGCTCTAGTCCTGACACAGAGACAGGAAGATGACCTTAAAGGAGCAAAGACATCCTCCAAGGGCAACAAGGAAGCGCCTCAGGAAACAGAAGTGGTTTATATATAGTGCGATATGGTAGGAGCTTCTAGTTTGTTTTTGTTTTTTTAAACATTTTTCCCCCCATCCTACAGTTTCGGCTCTTGTAAGATAAAGGTTGTGCCGGTCAAGGATGTGATTTGGTACATACTCTGGTAGCGTAGTGGTTACAAATTGGGCTACCAACCTCAAGGTCAGCAGTTCGAAACTACCAGCTGTTTCGTGGGAGAAAGATGAGGCTTTCTGCTCTAGTAAAGATTTACAGCCTCAGAAACCCTGTACAGGGTCACTATGAGTCGGAACCAACTCCATGGCACATAACAACAATAACAACAACAACCATTCTCTTGTAAGTGGTGCTGCTAGTGCCCTTCCTAGACCATTTATTGAAATGCTGTGATCAACCTCTCACCTGCTGTGAGTGTTGGCTGCTGATGGCTCATGGTTGCTCCCTCACACAGAGAAATTGCTTGGGTTAATGGGAGATGCTTGGACCGTTAAACCCCATCCTTTTATGGCCGCCAGATAAACACAGTATTCCTGGTTACATCTGAATTTCACATAAGTAAAGTATAACTTTTCACTATTTGTTGATAAATATGTCCTATTGTTTGTCTGAAATTCAAATTTAATTGGGCGTCCTGCATTTTTATTTGCTACATCTGGCAAACCTACAACTTGCAGCAATGATAGCTGGTAGGGGGAGTGAGACAGCTGCAAGCTTTTGGTATTATGTCGGTGGTCTCCCCTAGATCTAGGATAATGCTTGACTTCAGAATTGTTTAGCTTCTTTCCCTGCCCTACCTTACCTTACCCTGTCGGACTTCCCTTTCTTCTTTACAGTTTTTACTGGAGAACTCTTTCCCTGTGAATCATTTACAGAAAGCTTCCTGTCTCCAGTCCTGCTTCAAGGGACTCTAACTCAAATATCAGCCTGCTTTTCAAAGTTTTCTTTCAGGGTTACCTTGAAAGGACCACCCTCCAGCCTTATTATCATTTCATTAAGAAGGATGGAATACAGTATTTGCCTACACTGCTTTCCCTACAATGGGTAGTAGGGGGCGCTGAGCTCGGCTGTGCCATTTCCGGATAACACGGTTTTCACACCTCGGCCCTTGAGGTGACGTACAGTTACGTCACATCCGCACCGAGACGGCCGGTAACCGGAGGGCGGGACCGATAAAAGTCAACGTAAACACGCCCGGAGTTTTCTGCGCTCTTGCTTTGGTTTCAGCATGCAAACCCCCAGCCTCGGCGGATTCTTGCAGCGACCGGAAAAGTCAAGGGAGGCGTCAAGCTAGGCCGACGGAGAGCGGGTAGGCAGAAGTCCACGGGAGAGCGGCCGTTCTTCGGGAGCAGGTTCAGTTGGCCGTACTGGTGACGCTTGAACCGGTGCGCCGGGTGAGGATGCTCTAGGTTGGAGCGACTGGGGGGGAGGGGGCGGGGGAAAGGATAGCCCGAGATGCTGATCCACACCGGGCCCAGGACACCGTGCAGACGCGTATCCGAGCCAAAGGCAAGGCCTGGCCACGATCCTCGCCGGGTTTAGTACAACGTATCTGAGGTCTCGGTCGCAGAGAGTGGCCGCGCGGATTGAACATGACCACGTGTGCAGAGCAAGCTGCACGCACCTGTCGCGAGGTGGGCGTTAGTCAAAAACAATACGGAATTGGATTGGTGTTTTTTTTTTTAATCAATGACTTATCCCGAGAAAGAGCATTTTAAAACTAAGGGTCTTGACATGACTGAAACTTCAGCTGAAGTCTAGACAAAATCTTTTCTTGTCCTAAGTAACTCCATGTGGTGTCTTTAAAAATAGCTTCTGTCATACACTTTTGCCTGGCACGTCGGCAAACGTGCCATTGTACCTGTGCCTTAGAAACAAACAGCTCCTCAGTCAAATATGGAACTTATCTTTTGCTCACATAGGTGTTAAAGACCACAAGGTGTGGTTAAGCTTTAGAGAGATATAGTTAGAATAAACTAATGTTAAATACAGACATGCTTATAACTTTTCTGTACCAAAACCCTTTTCCTCTCCTTAAACATAAGAATACTTAGCATTTTCACTTGTGATCATTTTATTTTTTTTTACATATTTTAAGAGTCCAGAAGCATATTGCAGCTCTAACTCTGTTATTTATTGCACCTTTGGCCATTTTGACTTTGCTGAACTCAGAAATTGGGCTGCTGCTGATGGTGGTTATGTGCCGTGGAGTCGGCTCCCATTTATAGGGAACTTGTAAATCTTTATGGGAGCAGAAAGCCTCATCTTTCTCCCACGGAACCGCTGGTAGTTTTGAACTGCTGACCTTAAGATTAGCAGCCCAACTTGACATAACCGCCACATACTAGAGCTCCTTAGAAAATGGGTTTTGTTGTTGTTAAGTGCTGTCGAGTCGATTCCGACCCATAGAGACCCTGTATAGGGTTTCGGTAGAAATTGGGCTACAGGTGTTTTAATGATCCATTGGGCCAGGAAACATGTGGTTTTGGTGGTTTGCCAGTTCCCAGAAAATGCCTCTAGATGCCCTTTACCATACCATACCATACCATATATACTTTAAGGTTGTTTTAGAAAATTAATAGTCCCAAATACTGTCACCTCGAATCATGATTACAAAGGAATTCAACTCCTGCAAAGGTAGTTAGCCAAGAATCGCAGCCACCTGAAACCTTCTGTTATCCAAACAGAGATACCTTGACTCTGTTTCCCTGTTTTGCAAAAGTCCTTTTGCCACGAATAAAACAACTTGTATTTACTATAATCAGACTTGTAGTTAGTTTTTCCAATACTGCAATCCCCAAACACTGTTTTAGGTCCTTGGTAAACATCAATGAATGAGACAGAAAGATCTCTCTACCTCTCCTGGAGTGTAATCCATTGGGTGGGAAAGGGGGAGTACAAATAAAGTGGAAGTGAATTGCGTAATGATGTTGTTGACTCCAACTTCTGTGACCCTGTGCACAACAGAATGAGACACTGCACCGTCTGGCACCCTCCTCACAGCTGTAGTTGTGCTCCAGCCCGTTTTTGTAGCCACTCTCTCAGTCCACCTCATTGAAGGTTTTCCTCTGACCTTTTACTATACCGAGCGCGATGCCCTTTTCCAGGGACTGGTCCTACCTGACAACATGCCCAAAGTACATATGACAAACTCTTGTAATCCTTGCTTCTAAGGTACAATCTGGCTGGACTTCTGACAAGGCAGATTTGCTTGTTCTTCTGGCAGTCAATGATACTTTTAATGTTTTTCGCCAATACCATAATTCAAATGCATCAAGTCTCTAATCTTCTGTATTCATGGTCCAAATTTCACATGTATAAGAGGTGATTTAAAATACCATGGTTTGGATCAGGTGTGCCTTAGTCCTAAAAGTGACATCTTTGTTAACACTTTAAAGAAGTCTTTTGCAGCAAGTTTTCCCAGTGCAATATGTCATTTGATTTCTTGCCAGCTGCTTCCATATGCATTAATTATAGATCCAAGTAAAATTAAATTCTTGACAACTTCAGTCTTTTGTCTGTTTATCATGATGTTGGTTATTAGGCCAGTTGTGAGAATTTTTGTTTTCTTTATATTGAGTTGCAATCCATGCTGATATTCTTTGATCTTCATCAGCAAGTGCTTCACATCCCTTTCACTTTCAGCAAGCAAGGTTGTGTCATCTGTATCACAAATTGTTAATTAGCCTTCCTCCAAACCCGATGTTGCATTCTTCTTCATGTAATCCAGCTTCTTGGATTACAGCATACGGACTGAATAAGTATGGTGAAAGAATACAACCCTGGTGCATACCTTTCTTGAGATTAAACCATTTTAAACCTTGTTCTGTCCTAACTGTCTTTTGGTGCATGTTAAAGGTTCCTCATTTAAGTGTTCTAGAATGCCCATTCTTTGCAATGTGCTTTAGTTTGTCGTGATCCACAGTCTCTTTTGTATAGTCAGTAAAACACAAGTGAGAATCTCTCTGGTATTTTCTGTTTTCAGCAAAGATCCTTCTGTTGTCAATAATGATATCTTTGGTGCCACTTACTCTTCTGAATCCAGCTTGAATTTGTGGCAGCTTCCTGTTAATGTGCTGCTGCAACCAACCACTTTTGAATTAACTTCAGTTCCGTTTTACTTCATGTGATAGAAATGATTTCTCCTTCTCTTGGGTCACCTTTATGTGGCATTGGCACAAATATGGATCCCTTCCAGTTGGTTGACCAGGTAGTTGTTTTCCAAATTTCTTGACATTGATTTATGTCGTTGTTGTTTGTTGTTAAGTGCTGTCAAGTTGGTTCCAACTCTTAGCTACCCTGTATAGGGTTTCCAAGGTGTAGCTGGTGGGATTAAATCACCTATCTTGGGGGTTAGCAGTCCAGTGCTTATCCTGCAGCACCACACCAGGACTCGGAAAAGGAATAGCTCCTCACTATTAGCAAGTATCAGACCGCTTCATCATTTCTTCCATTCACTCTTACTGCTCTACATTCAAGAGCAAGTTTCTGAGTCTCTTCTGACATCCACTTTGGTCTTTTCTTTATTTCTTGTCTTTTTAAATGAATTTTTGCTTTCTTCGTGTATAATGTTCTTGATGTTTTCTCTCTCAATTCCTCTGGTCATTAGTGTTGAATGTGTGAATTCTTGAGATGGTCTCTAAATTCAGGTGGGATATACCAAAGGTCGGATTTTGACTATTAAGGACTTGTTTCAATTTTTTTCAGCTTGAACTTGACTATGAAGTCGGCCCTTGGCATTGTCTTGGCTGATGATATTGAGCTTCTCCATTGTCTCTGCCCACAGATGTTGTCAGTTTGATTCCAGTGTATTCCATCTGGTGAGGTCCATGCTTATAGTTGTCATTTATCAAACATATCAACGATTGTGAGGTTGGCCTAGGACCGGGCATTTTCTAGTTCTGTTGTGCATAGGATCACTATGAGACAGTACCAACTCTATGGCACCTAACAACGAGGACACTTATCTTAAAGAAAGGTATTTGCAATGAATAAGTGATTGGTCTTGTAAAATTCTATCACATGATCTCCAGCATAATTTCTATCACCAAAGCTATACTTTCCACCTACCAATCCCTCTTTGTTTCAGACTTTCCCATTCAAATCACTATAATTATCAGTACATCTTAATTATATGTTTGGTCAATTTCAGACTGAAGAAGTTAGTAGAAATCTTCAGTTTCTTCATTGACTTTGGTGGTTGGTGAATAGATTTAAATTATAGTTGTATTTACTGGTCTTCTTTGTTGGCATATAGATATTATCCTAATACAGACAGCTTATTATTTTAAGATAGATCTTGAAAAATAGATCTTTTTGATGATGAATGCAATCTCATTCCTCTTCATTTTGTCATTGCTGGCGTAGTAGGCCTTATGATTATCCAATTTTAAAAAAAGGCAAGTATTTGTCCATTTCTGCTTACTATATGTGTCTAAGCATTTCATTTCATTTTTTACTTCTAGTTTTTCTAGGGTCGAACTTCATACATTTCACTTTCTGATTAATAAGGGATATTTATAACAATTTTTCTTACTTTATTATGCCACCTTAGCAAGTTAAAGTCCCAAAAGCTTTGTTCCACCCATGGCATTTAGGTCCTACTCTATTTTGAAGAGGCAGCTCTTCCCTAGTTATATTTTGAGTGCCTTCCAACCTGAGAGGCTCATCTTCAGGCTCTATGAAAGAATGATAGAAGGTGAGGTCAGAGCTAGGGAACAGTGCAGTTCAGGTAGGCCCTGATGGCCTATGTAAGGGCTTTGGCATTATTTACTCCGAATGAAGTGGAAACCATCACAAGGTTTTGAGCAGAGAAGTGAGTCGGTTTTAATGGGTTCACTTCTGGCTACTGTAGAGAGAACAGATTGAGGAGGACAGCTTGTGAAGCAGGGTTACCTATTAGGAATAGATCTGTTAAAGAGCATCCCTGTCTCCATTAAAAGGTTGACCTTTAAAGATGATGGTGACAACCATTATAGGCTCACATTTCCTGCTGAGCATGGTGACTATGCCAGGTTGTATGGCATCTTGTCACTGACCCCGGGGACTGAAGCTTCTGGAGAGGTGACTGCTCAGTTACTATGTATTCTCTAAATCTGGGTCTCAGTCTCCATCAACACAGTAAGGCTTAACACCTATTATGTGCCAGGCAATGGATGAAATCAGCAGTCAGAGGAAACATTAAGGATTGAGAAAGAGGAACTCTAGGTAGCTATTACTGCTGTCCTGAAACCAAAGATTTTCCTGAATATACAGGTCTACCACCATTTACTCCATCAGTCAGTTGACAAGTGCTTGTAACACCTATTCTGTGCCAAACATAGTAAGTGTTATTATTTGTTGAATGGATGCATGGATGGATGTAGCACTTTCTCTGGAGAGCATCATCTGGGAGTGGTTACATTTGGGCCTAACCTGGAGGGATTTCTCTGACTTCTGGTCTGTAGAAATGTGACTAAAAAAGGTTCTTTCTTAAGTGGACTCAGTTCCTGGTCTGTAAAGTAGCAGTGTCAGGCTGAATGAGTCCTAAGGGCCTTTCCAGCTCTTGCTATTTGACATCATCTGATTTTACAAGGTCAGGGGTTCAACCTCACCAGCTGCTCCTTGGAAACTCTATACAGGGTTGCTATGAGTCGGAACTGACTCAACGGCACTTAACAACAAAATAAAATGTGAAAACAGGTCTCAGGAAGAGCTATTGTCCATTTCCGTCATCAACAAACATACTAGTGGTGTTAGTGAAACATTAGTGAAAAAGACAGGCAAGGGTCCCTGTTCTCTAGGAGATGATCTTTAGTGGGGGATCCAGTCTTCAGACAATGCTATAGAGATTACGTAACAAGGAAACCTAATTTAGAGCAGAGTATCAGACAAGGCCTCCCTGAAGAGGTGACATTTAAACTGAAAGGAAAAGGATGAGTGAGAGCTATCCAGGAGTGA